ATGCAATACTTTTAATGTGAAAGAACTCCATACTGCACATTCATTGTAGTACACTGTTTAATCCCAATCCATATTCAGATACATAGTTGAATATCCACAGAATGTAAGGAAATAGACTTTGTTTGAAAGTAACACGTATCTCTGCAATAATGCCATACTTTTATGTTTCCTGTCATTTTATTAGGGACGGRCGAACCTGAGGGACACAGCTGTGCTGACCGTGTTCTGTCTCTTATGGCAAAAAAGAAAAGACAACACTTTTTATCTAAAGTTTATCAAATCAGAAAGTAAAAGATGAACATTGTTGTGATAGTGTYAATTTTACCAACCATAATGGATATAGAAATTGACTCAATATTATTATCATGTTGACCAGCCTGAAGCTGCCGATCTCCACCATGTTGCTGCTGCCACAGTGGATTCTGAGGACATCAGGTGTTACAGTGCGTCATGAAATGAAAAAAGTCATGTTAAAGGATGTTTTATGCTGAAATCATTGTCACATCTGTAGATATTAAGGAACAGAGGAGAAACACGATTATTTACAGATACTGTACAATACAAAAATTACAATACTTTTGACACGTAATATCAGCTGTGTTAAGCAGCCAAGACTGGTACTTACAGTTTATTCTGTGTTCAGCAGGTGGAAGCTCCACAGATTTCAGCCAAACTGATGTGCAAAAAAAAATAAACATTGTACAAATACATAAACTACCACATCTGTAATATTCAAGGTGATAATCTCCCACAGTGCTGTTGATAACAGTCCACATCAAGTCCCTCAACTTCTCTCAGTGTTAAAACAGATAAATATATAATAAATATGAGCACTGTTTACAACAGTGGTGTGTGGAGATTATAATCACATCTAAACTCTCATATAATAACACATCTACAATGAGTCTAATTCACTGTGAATTCTATAACAGGCTAAAAAAAAGAGGTTGTGATAGTAATGGTGGTTATACGAGCCTGTATCACATGCAGCTTATTAATATTAACTTATTAAAATTACAATCAAATGACAAAACACAACTCTTTACTAAAGCTAGTTAACTTGCTTCAAACTTCATTAGACGTGTTAAATAAACGGTAAATTACCACAATAACATCAAAAACCACTTGAGGCCTGTAAGTATATGTAATTATGATAATAAATAAATCAATAGGTTTTGTTGTTGTAAAGTTTCAGTGTAACTTACCTCTGTTCGGTTCGATGTTACGACCGCGACCATCCCGGAGCAACAACACNCTTCAAACTTCATTAGACGTGTTAAATAAACGGTAAATTACCACAATAACATCAAAAACCACTTGAGGCATGTAAGTATATGTAATTATGATAATAAATAAATCAATAGGTTTTGTTGTTGTAAAGTTTCAGGGTAACTTACCTCTGTTCGGTTCGATGTTACGACCGCGACCATCCCGGAGCAACAACACTGCGGCGCAAACCGGTTAGCGCGCCTCCTTTTTGCCAATTTATGGGTTAGCCAGGAACTAGGAGGAGTCAGGCCCCGGCAAGATGGCGCCGGGTGAAACGCCCACTACGAGCCTCATTTTCGCTTTTCAGAAACCAACGGGTGGCGTCACGGACACTACGTCCATCTTTATATACAGTCTATGGTTTAATGACATGATGGACACTCTTGTACAGTAGGTGGCGGTGTACACCTTAAGTTGTTTGCGATCCGCCAGTAAACCGAGAGAAGAAGAAGTAAAAACCTGCAGCTAGCTGGTGTTACGTCGAGATGGAGTGTTGTGAAATCCCACAGCAACCACTCTGATGGTTTCCCACGTCTCTTGTCCATCTGTCCCTCATGCAGCGTCCAGTGTCGGTGTGAGACATGACGGACAGATACAGTGAGGTCGGCTTTGTCCAGCAAATACTCGGGTTGAATTTAGTGCCGAGGAAAAATGGCACACACCGAGGAAACGACACGTCTCTCAGCGACTTCTCAGGTGGGCTAATGTTTGCTAGCTTGTTAGCTACAAAACCTGCAAACAGTGCTGACTTACACACTATAGGTTGAGGAATATCACAATGCGTGTTCCACGTTCCCCCTGTTTACAAACGTGTTCAGTGTTATAATGTGGTCAGTCCTCTTGTAAATGTCTCCTTGTAGGTTAGTAGCTGGACGCACTGTTAGCATTATTTCGATATCTCCTGTATATTAGCGAAGCGAGCTCGCTCCCTGCTAACTCTCAGCTGTTGTTAAAATAACACTCTGACTTGTCCCAAGCGATGGTGGACAGAGGCTGTTGGGAGTTTCCATGTTATTTGGGTTAGCTCAATTCACCACCTCTAACGTGAGTTGTTAGCTGTTTAATAACGTTACGTAACGCTGAATTCCATCCCTGTGCGCTGCTATAGTTGTGTGCTCTCCTAAGTATTGTGGGGGAGGCTGAGGCCAGAAAGTGTCTGACTATCCACCTGCTTGTATTTGATTATTGAGCAACAAGTTAATGCAAAATCCAATCTTTGTTCCTCAGCCTAAAGCCATTGTTCCATTCACAACAATGCAATTAAGTCACACTTTTTCTTCAGTTTTCCCTCCTTACACCTCCCCAATCGGTTTATAACAAAATCATAGAGGTGACTGTAATCTTTCAACTTTAATTCAAAGGTTTTGATCAAATATATCATGTAGAGGTGAGTGTAAACACTGACATTACACATTAAGGAATTAAAGACTGTTATTCATAGTCCCTTGATTGTGTCACTGTCCAAATACTTATGGAACCATCTGGATTCCAGAAATGTACAATCATGGAATCAAGAGAACAATATAATGGTACTGACCAATATGTATTTTCATTTTAAGATACTGTGGACACCATAGCACAGATATGTGGACTCCTTGTGTTGTGTACTGATGTATCTTAGTCAAGAGAATCTATGCATTTCCATGGATTAAGTTTGGGAAAGAATTATACACCTATATTACAAAACAGTAATATAAATGTAATATATTAACTGCTTCTGTAATGATGTGTGCATCTTTAAGTGGCGGCTAATGTGATTAAGAAAATATTGTGACTTGTCTTGGACTCAAAAGCTGAAGTATGGGACTTGGCCCTGTCCTGACTCGGACTTGAGTCTCAATCTTCTTTGTTCCCCATGAACCTGTAGACTGTACTGATGTGTGAAACTCTTCTGACGGAAGGAAGAGGGAATTTCCAAAAGATATTCCTTTCTTTGGTATCTTGATGCTGGTGGTTGGAGAGCACTTTCATTTTGAAGTCTCCCATAGGTGTTCAGTTCAGTTGAGATGTGGAGACTGGCCACTAACCCTAACCCTCTGCGTGGTATCATATTTATGTATTCAGGTATTTCCTTTCATTGGTCGCTCATATTTGTCAAAATCCTTTTCACAGACGAGATGTAGTGAGTGGAATGAAGAATCATGTTAATGAAAAATGTAATGATCTGATTTAATTGCTCCAGCGTCATGTGGAACTGTTTATGATTCATTATTTGATTAGCATGAAGTGATGATTGACTACATGACTGTGTTTGTGCAGAGATGTGGTATGGAGTGTTTCTGTGGGCAGCGGTTTCTTCCCTGGTCTTCCACCTGCCTGCAGCTCTCCTCTCCCTTGCCACGCTGCGTCAGCACAGGATGGCCCGATTCATGCCCATTGCAATCCTCCTCATGGGCATCGTGGGACCAGTGTGTGGGGGAGTCCTCACCAGTAAGTAATGGGGATGTGCACTATTAGTTGACTAAATGATTAAATATTTCTACTCTCTCAAGAAGTACTAATTAGTTAAACTACTTGATTAGAGTGCCCTTTTAACTATCACACCCAAGACGTTGGGCAGCTTCTGGCCATCTGCCGGAGTTGCTCCCGTCTCTTCTACGAGTAAAGGAAGCATTTGCATTTCATCAGATTTATGTCAAAACAAAATCCAGAGTCGAGTAAAACGTGGCCAGATTCCACCAACTTTACATTATCATACATCAATGAACTGTTATTTTGTAATCTGACATGTTTGGAAGAATTATNTATTTCTGAACCCCTAGTGTCTTGCAGTGAATCATTTTTGCGTAATGATCAGTAAATGTAACATCTCCTCATCTCTGCTTTCTGTTGTATCAGTGTATCAGACTGGAGCAACACACTAGCTGTTGTATGGAGGAGACAGACAACTTATGACATTCTGATTAATAACAATTAGAATCCTTCATAGACTCTTACAAACATGAAACCATTCTTGTTTCTATTTTGGAAATTTTTACTTTATCCTTTGCTATATAATCCAAAACAGGTTTACACTGAACACATTAAAAAGGATGTTTTAGGTGTTGATGTGATTTTTCTTGAGACAAACGAGGGACTGACAGTCTGAATGATCCTACTGTAAAAATGAGAACACAGGGATCAATGTGACCAGAACATTAACGTCTCTTTTTTCTGACAACTTCTCCCCTTTGATGTCCAAAATCAAATCTGACCTTCAGAGATGGAGAAGTTAACCTTCGTGGTTGATTGGAAGATTAATACAGTGAAAATGAACATCTTGTCCAAATTTCTGTTTTTATTCAATTGTTTCCCTCTATTTTTGCCAAAATCCTTTTTAAAACTATTGATCAGACAATTTCTTCTTTTTTATGGTGTGGAAAGGCACCCAGAATCTGCAAACACTACTGGAGAGATGCAAATTTAATGGTGGATTATCTCTCCCCAATTTCCAAATGTATTATTGGGCAGTACACATCCCAAAAAATTATTTTGATTTAACTTAAGCGATTCACCATGGTGTAAGCTAGAGGCACAGTCTTGTGTCTCGTCCTCTCTGTCAACTTTTACTTACCTCCCCCTCCAAACAGCCCTTGTGGCTTTAAAAATAATCAAGTGGTAATTTCCACCATGAAGATCTGGTACCAATTCAGGAGACAGTTCAAATTTACTTCAGCTTCAACTTTTGCTCCCTTACTAGAGTATCACTTACTCCAGCCCACATTCACAGATTCCTCCTTTTCTGTATGGCATGCTAAAGACCTGAAATTTTTTAAAAACCTTTATAGGGATGGTATTTTTTGGAGTTTTGCAGACGTGTTGTGTGAATTTCACCTCCCTACCTCTCATCTCTTTCGCTTTTTTCAAATCAGATACTGTATTAACTCTTTGTTTCCAACTTTACCTTTCTCACCTCCAAATCAATTATGGGATGAGGTTCTGTGCTCTAATCCCCTCCAAAAACCAAAATGAGCTGGGGTTGAGCCTGGAAGATAATTGGTGGGATAAGGCACTAGACAAGATCCACACAGGCTTAATTTGCGCTCGTTTGACACTCATACAGTTCAAAGTGGTATTTAGAACTCATTTTTTGAAAGCTCGACTGTCATTAATATATCCCAACGTCATTGATAGTTGCGACAAANTATTTCTCTATTTCATGGAAAATATTTTGGCTTAAAATCAGAAAACAGGTCAGTTAATGGATACTTATGTAATGTTTTGTCATGTTTTTAAGGTGCAGCCATCGCAGGTGTTTACAAGGCGGCAGGGAAGAGGATGATCTCTTTGGAGGCTCTTGTTTTTGGGGTTGGACAGTCCTTTTGTGTCCTCATCATCTCTTTCCTCAGGGTCCTCGCAACCCTTTAGCAGAGCTGAGGCTTGTCTGGATGGACCTGATGCTGCTGGGTCACTCTCACACAGACAGCACCACAGTTTTACATGGTATACACCACATCCCGGCAAATCCTGGGCCACATGTAAACCAGCCAGATGTGGGTCAGGATGTCACTACCTGCTGATGGACCAGGAACAGAACAGATTTCAGTCTACTATGAAAAAATAAGCAGCAAGTGTTATACAGCACTAAGCCTTCTGATTAGCTGTCGAGACATCTCTATGATGTCACTGTAAGACAGCAAACTACTGATCACAGGGCAAGTATACACTACACAACAGCAAATACAGTGTATTTAAAAATGACAAATGATCACTAGACACTTAATTATTATGTATGCAGTTTTTATGTGTGATGTAGAGGCAGCATGATGCTGTTCTGCAGTAGTATCCAAATGACATTAACCTCTTAGGTTCTGTGTTTGTGTACTTCTATAGTTGTGAGGACCAATTTGTTTGAGGGTAATGACTTGACTCTGAGGTTCAATTATAATTAGTTAGAGCTTTGGCGAATGTTTGGGGTTAGACATTTAGTTAAAGTGCTTGAGGTCAGGGTCTGTATAATGTCAATAAGTGTCCTCACAGAGACAAATGCCCAAGTACAAATGTCTAATTTGAAAGATGTACTCATGTTCTTTCATTGGGGATCAATATAATATATAATGGGACGTACATTGATTTGATACATTTGATTTGTGCTGAGGGATGCTGTTGTCAAAGATGGGTGAACAGGTGTCCCCTCTCTTGGTAGCTACTTTGAATTCACAACTTCTTCAAACTGGATTTTCATTCTCAAGGACAACCCCGTGTTTCTTTGTGATGTCCAAAGCGATGGCATGCTGCTAAATTTTAGCTTCTCTTTTTGGGAACAGCTGACATTCTCCATTCAGTTGCACTGTTAATGCGCAAATGTACAGTGTACATGGTATGATGAACATTGTTTTTCATAGCGTGGTATACTGTGAAACCAGCTGCAACCTCAGTATGTGAATGTTGGACTCCGTGCAGTGACTGGATAACAGTCATTTTGACAGATGCTCTTTTGATACAGGAAGATGATGGTTTTATGCAAGATCCTGGCTTTTCCTTTGAGGCCTTAATTTCTATTTTCTAATATCCAAAGTGGTGTTCTCTTCAGGGCTGTCTTTCTTTAACACCCTTTCTATTGCTGCCCTTTTGTTCTTTCTCATAGTTTTTGTTTAGATCAATTCAAGTCGGACTGCCTGTCTCTGCTATAGGTTCCAAATCAGCAATTCACATTTACTGCCACCTGTCACCTTTACATGACACTGTTGAAAATGTTTAGTTGTGATCACACAGCCTAGAGAATGTCTTCATAGTTTCTCTGCTCATCTTCTTAGTTTGTCAGTTTATTTGTTTAAAGCGAATTCCTTACAGGCTGTTGTCAGTTTTCTTGACAAACCCAAAGATCACCTTTGTTAGATCTTTTCCAATCTCTTTGAATGATATTTTATTTTTCTTCGTATTATTCCCAAGTCTTTTAGCTGTTCAATCTTTTTGACCAAATACAGATTACTCATATTTTTCAAGTGTGAATATGATGTTTCGATGATGGTTTAATAGAAGTGTGTTCCCTTGTACATCAGTCACAACATTCAAACCAGTGAGTGGTTTTTATGCTGACAGGTCATGTATACAGTGTGTGTGCACGCCATCAGGTTTTATTGTTGTATTTTTATCGGCTCATTGACTCCCACAGTCGTTATGCTATTTGTTGCTTTTGGAAGTGGACAGATACTTTTGAATTAACATCACACATGTACAACTTTCATATACAGGCAAACTCTAAGTGTAATATTATGCTTTGTTAAATGTGATGCAGTTTGCTCTGTCAGCTGGCACCACTAACAGACCTGTAGTTAATGTGAGCACAATTCCCTTTTCCACCTGATTTGACTTTGGTTTGGATTTGATATTTAACCTCAGTATCTTCGTGTTGATGACAATAATAGTAAACCAATATGCAGTTAATTGAATTAACAAACTGGAGCTGCCACCAGTGGACCAGATTTTGAGCTGTAATGGAACAGAAACAAGACAGCTTGTAAAAATCCAGGTAGAATCTGTGGAGCAAAGATTGAGTCATTTTTGCTCTGATGGATCCAGAACTTCTTTCTTTACAAATGTTACTGTTATTATTTCCCACATTTTCCTACAAAGATCCCATCTTGTAATAGAGCCTGTACATGATCAGAAACTTACACTACTCATTAAAACCAGTTAGCTTAAAGCTAGTGGACCATTTGTTCTATTAACTGTCATTGATTTTTACTAAGCGTTAGGAGCCTTTTAACTCATGCGATGGCAAAGAGAGCAGACAGCAAGCTTCACCTTCATCTCCTCGACGATGCGTTTAAACCCCTAAAACCAAAGATGGCTTGTATTCTTCCCCTTGTACTTCACTAGCTACTCTTCAGTTCAGTAGTTTAGTTCCATCTGAAAATTCCATGATGCGTGTAAACATTCAGCAAATCAAACTGAAGCTAGAATGAAGAAGTTTCTGGTTTTAGTTTAATCCTGGGAAGTACGATATCTAAAAATGTCTAAAAATAGGAAAATGCCATCATTAGAGAATGAGTAGACACTAATGACAGCACAGTTGGATTGTTAAGAGCAGGTTATAGACATTCAGTGCAGTTAGGAACTACAATGGGACAGTAGTAATTTCTGGACAGTGACCATGATAACCATTACCTGAGGAATTTAGAGAAATATGATTTATTTCTCTAACTTATTTCATTAATTCATTTTAATGGGGTGTCCTCAGATTTTGGAACAAGATGAGATAATTGCCTTCGACACTAAACCATCATTTCTTAAAATGTAATTTCATTGAGACTGGATTTTATCCACGGAGGAAACTCAGCTCATTGCACTGTACATATTGTATGTTCTGTATATGCACAATCCCCTGAGCTGAGAAAAGTGAATCAATTTTTGTTACTACAAAGATGGAGTGGAAAATCAAAGCAGTCCATTGAAATATGTGGCTGGTGCAGGAATAAATGGAGTTGTGTTAATCCCTTGGCCTTGCTGTTAATGCTGTACATTTTGGAGAATTTTTATTTTTTTATGGTTGTGTAATTTAGCTCCTTGAGGACAGGAGTTCTCTGTGGTTCTGTTACTGCAGCTTACACTGTTACCTTAATAAATTCAGTCTCGATGTTTTCACTTCTGTCTAAACTAGTTTGCATCAATACTAATCTATCTGGACAGGTGACACTGATACAACTGTTTTGTTGTCTGACCTTACAGACAATAAACGTGTTTTCCATTCTTGTGTTGGCAGACAATTCTAAACAAGTGCTTTAATGTGAACTGTTAGATACAGCATAACATTTCCATACATACAGACTAAACTGTCTCAGGGCAAACTCTTGCTCTAGCATAAAGGTTCAGTGTGTAGAATTAAGTGACATCTAGTGGTGAAGTTGCATGTTGCTGAATACCCCTCACCTCACCCTCTCCTTAAAAGGTGATCAATTCGGCAGCTGTGGATGTGGCTGAGGGGTTGAGCAGTTGTCCTCCAACTAGAAGGTTTGCTGCTTGAATCCCAGCCCTTGCCAAAGTGTCCTTGTGCAAAATGCTGAACTCCCAAAAAAATTCTCCTCCTAAATGTAGAATGTAAGTTCCTTCGTATAAAAGCGTCAGCTAAATGACATGTAATGTAATGTAGTTTGTCCTGGTGTGGCTTGTGTGGCCTCTGCGGACCCACTCCTCGTGTAAATATAAAGTATTTAAATATAAAGGGCCAATTCTAGGGTAAAGAAAACCACAATTTGTACAATTTAGATGAAACATCACTAGGATTATTTTATATAAAATTTCTGCCAACAGATCCCTTTAAGTCAAATCCTACACACTGGACCTTAAACGTTCATGTTCTTGCACCTACTTAAAACAGGCCTAGGAATGTAGAGAATTTTAAGCCACAAGACTAATAGAAGATCAAGTAACTAATACAAGTAGCTGTTCGCTTGATGCATATGTCAAGCCTGCTACCACCAGTAAAAGAAAAGGGAAATTAATGAGAACTTGGGGATGTTTGGTAAAAAATACTCATGCAAATTCCAAATGAGGTGAGATGTGGAGTCCTGGAGTCAATTTTGACAAACAGGGAGATTCACTATTTTAGTCATGAGCCACTTTACTCAATAGTTTATAAAGTAAATGTTAGATGGTCTGTATTTATATAGCTTTCTCGTCGTCTTGATGACCTCTCAAAGCTCTTTACAGTAAAGAACAGTACCTTTATTCAAAGCATGTTGATAACAGCAGCCTTTCAGGACGTTCTCCTTCATGAAGTTTATAATGTTCAGTTTGAGCTGAAAGTGAGTCCTCTGCTTCATTACTTTGGATTACTTTAGAAGATGTAGTTCATGGTGCTGTTTAACCTAGTTGCATTATATTGGGAAACATTTGTTCAACATAGAATAGCCGTCAATACAGACTGGTACAGTTCATCCAGAAAATCCCTGAGTGCTGCATGGGATGTTCCTTCATGGATTGTAACGGGGGGCAATGTACACAGAAGACTGGGAGCTATGTGATTTTACTGAAAACACAATAAATGTATCAGTGTCATTTTCTCTGATGGACAAACACAATAAACAAGTGAATCAAATTATAAATATCAAGGTAATGCTGAGTATCTGCTGTAATTTAACCATGTATTCCTATGGTCCTCATTCCTGGATCAGTCTTGTTAAATTTTTATCAGATACAAATGGTTTAAAGTAAATTTTACTGAAGTAAATTAAGTGCCATTGGTAATTATTTTCATGAAATAAAAATGTTTCAACTAGAACGTTGTGGTGTTTTTTGTGTCCTTTGTCTGCCTCTAGTGGGAATGAGTGGGAACTGCAATAAAACCGACAGCACTGACTTAATCCTCTTTCAGAAATGTAAATGATAATGCAAATACCTGAGAAAAACCACTGAAACCACATGCAATTTAGCTGAAGCCCAATAGTCTAAGCTAGCTGTACAATATAGTTTATAGACAATAAATGTGAAAGTGAGCTGCTTGGAAGAAAACTGCTTTTAGATGTAAGATTGTCATTCCATTTCTGTTCAAAAGTTTTAAGCAGATTATTTCTACTTTTGTACGGCTGCTGATTGATTTCTATGTAAATCAGAAGTTAAATTCACATCTTGGAACTTCAGAGGGTTACAGAAAGTCTGCAAGGTAATGCAGGTGGTTGGAAGGTTAAACATTTTAATTCCAAAATTGTCTTTCTTCAAGAAATACTATAAATTATAAGAGCACAGATCATTTTAATGTTACACATTCTGGATCTGAAAAAGCTAAACAAAAATAAGAAGACCAGTCTAATGAAAATGTCAACATTAAAAGCTGCAGGGAATCTATTAAACTTTAACAAACTTGACCAAGGAGAAAAATCTGGAATGGTTACGGCATGGCCAGTAGAACAGTTATAAAATGAGAGCAGAGTGAATGTGTTATCATATGCATTCAGTGCCTATAGGAGGCTGACGGAAGCTTTGGAGGACATTTCTCTGTGTTCATATTACACTTCAACAGCATGTTATCATGTGTTATGTGTATATATATATATATATATATATCTTTTAAGAATCGAACATTTATTTATTCCTGCTTGTCCCATCTGAGGATTTGCTGCTCTTTTATTTCAATCAATGCAAACTGAGTTTTATTGGATTGGGGAATGGAATCAAGCCACCGACCTTCTGGTTATATAGATGAGAGCTCTAGCCCCCCAGCTACAGCCACCTTCTGTTGAGTTCCTTATTTTCTGGTATATTGTAAACTAAACATTTAATCTATCAATAAAAATAAATAAGAGAAATCTGTGAAGGTAATCTGTAGTTGTAGGTCTGTATTTCTTATAACTGTCATTCTATCTATACCTTTGGTCTACATTATAATTAGAAAGAAAATCTCAAATCAAACATCACACACACTGAGCCGTAGTCTATATATTGAGCATGTATTTATTAGTGAGAGGTTGACAGGTGCACATGCACACTATCATAGAAGGTAGGAACAAGTTCATCTCATCGGCTGAGGAAAAACACAGCAGAATGAGATGTGGAGGGAGAGCATCTTCAGCTGGGACATCTACTGCTTCTTCTTGTAGTCCTCCAGGTGAGCCAGGATCCAGCCGGAGGGGCCCAGAATGGCCACAAACATGGCTGTCAAAGCTATCGCCTGCTCCTGCAAGACACACACAAAGGGTTTGATTACTAATACTACAGTGGTATGACTGTTCCAACTGAGCGTTCAAATATTAGTGCCATTTGTCCATATTCGCATTTCAGGTTGTCAAGTCTACTATGACAGAAAAAGCACTTGATTGAATCTGCTCTTTTATATTTGGATGATTAACGATGGTCACCAGCATGTTATTAGACGTGTGATTGTGATCAGACACGTGGCAAACTGAAAGAATTAAATAATCTGTGATGCTTTTTGTGTGACTGAGTACAGTGGTTGCTTGCTAGATTTGCGATATTGGTCGTGAAGTAGAGAGTGGCTGCTGTGCTGCTGTCTTTTGCAGAAAATATCACAAAATGACTTCTATCAATCAAATTTTATTTGTGTAGCCCATATGCACAACTCACAATCTGTCTCATTGGGCTTAACAAGATGTGACATCCTCTGTCCTTTACCCTCAACAAGAGTGAGGAAAAACTACCAAAATAACACTATTAACGGGGTGGGGGTGGGGGGTGGTAATGTAGAAACCTCAGACAGAGCCACATGTGACTGAGGGATCCCTCTTCCAGGACGTCTCACTAAGGATTCAATCCAAAAACAAACAAAAAATTCAGGACTTCAGAATTCCTCCAGTAATTCTGACTACACGCCGCTGCTCATAAACTATTGTTTTCTATGCATCTAATGCATCACTGTTGTTTCAGCCGAGTCCACATGTCCTGAATAAATACGTTTCAAACCCCTGGTGCTCTTACAGATCTGTTAACTCGGTAAAATCTCTGTCTGTCTCTGTCCTTGGTGCAGAGGGAATAGCAACCAGGAAAACAAAGCTAGTCTCTCAGACAGCGCTCTACACCATCCAGTACACTTGGCCATTCAAGTCATGTGCTGTGGGTTTCCAGGTACACTGGACTTTTTAGTCACCAGTGTGGTTACAGAGCAATGCTTTGGTGAGCAGGTCCACATTTAGTTTTGTACACATAGACTTGGGAAATCTGCTCTGCAAAGGTTTAAAGGTCCAGTGTGTAGAATTTTGTGATATCTAGTGTTGAAGTTGCATGTTGCAGCTGAACACCCCTCACCTCACCCTCTCCTTCCAAACATGAAAAAGAACCTGTGGAAACCTTTAATTGTCATAAAAACTCAAAAGGTGTTTAGTTTGTCCAGTCTGGACTAATGTAAAAAACATGGCAGCCTCCATAGAGAGGACCCCCTCGATGTAAATATAAAGTATTTAAATATAAAGGGACTTTTCTGGGCTAAAGAAAACTACAATTCATACAATTTAGATGAAATGAACTAGTGAAAACATCATGAGGATTATTCTACATTAAATTTCTGCCAATAGTTCCCTTTCACCTAAATCTTACACACTGTACCTTTAAGGGAAAGTGAAAGTTCAACATGTTTGTTAGACCTTGATACAAAAAAAGAGAAACACTGAATATAAACAGATATAGAACTACTTTAAAAGAGGTATTTACATTTATATAGATTTATATATAAAGTCAAATATACATATATATCTCCATTGCTTAATTTATGCAAAACATTTACTGTCATATTAGATAACATTGCCAATTTTGAACTTTAACATGTTTGTTAATGTAAAAAAAATACATATTCGATTATTGTTCAAATTAGAATTGTATTATTATTTTATTGTTCTTAAATATTAATGTAGCCTTAAATGCCCTGTATGACTCTGAGTGTATGTAAAACTAAAACCAGTATAGTATGAGGTGTCGGATTCCAGACCAGGAAGTATCTGATAAATAATCAGATGAGAAGTCTAAAGTCCAATGAAGTAAAAAAAAGCAAACACCATTTCACTGCTGAATTACTATGTTAATGTAGAGGTGGGCAAAACAATGCTCGAAACTAAATATATATATATACATGTTTTTTTTTGAAGACCTTAATTTGTTTTTTGAATGCTCTTTTTAAAAACAGGGAAAATCAAGGTCTGGGGAAGTTGGACATTTCATGGAAGTGACTTGATAATTCCTCGGGCTGACAATATGAGCACAGGTTTCATATAAAGTCGTGTTCCTCTGTCTGGCCCTGCTCTGTCTCAAGGTCAGGGACCTGGCTGCTGCTGAACGTGTTTACACACTGATCCCACATTAAACCCTCACTAATATCAAACTTCTGCTGTGCTCACTGATACTAACTTCTGTATCTGTGTGCTGTGGTTAATAAAGAACATGTATGAGAGGCATTGTGTGTCACTTGCTGTTGATACGTGAGCAGGCAGACGTGTACGTGTTGGAATTAGGCGGAATCATGGCGAGATACTGACGCACTTATCTGACGTGTTGAATGTAATGACCTATTTGTCTGTCGCCTGATAAAGCACTGACACCAAAGTGGTCAGTATTTCACTGCATATGGAAAATAATATTTCATACACATGAATATTAGAAATATTAGAATGGGAGAAGCCACGGTGTGAAGTTTGGCTCCGTTAATGTAAAGTCACATGCGTCACGCCAGGCTGAGGCGCACAGTCATCGTAGCCCCCGGTGATGGAGTCTGTGGCGGGATGTGTGTTGCTGCTGTGCGGGGACAGGAGCCGTTGTCTTGGCGCATGTTGTGTGTTCCGTGGAGCAGTGCACTCACTCACCCCTGCAGTGATAGTGTGTTTGGCAGGTTTGGACGTCCAGTTAGCCATAGGCACCAGCTGGGTCCTCAGCGCGCTCCTGAACAGACGGGACACGGCGGGCAGAGACATTATGAAGGCTCGGTGCTGCAGACACGAAGGACCGAAAGAAACCCGGAGGACAACCGGAGGAGAACCGTGACGAAGGGCGGCTTCACTGTTTCTCACACTGCTGGGTGACTTCCAGGTTTCATTTATCAATATGTGTGTGTGTGTGTGTGTGTGTGTGTGTGTGTGTGTGTGTGTGTTTGTGTTTGTGGTTGGTGGGGGTGCGTGTGCGTGTGTGCGCACATTACGCGCGGGATTTGATTGGTTGTCTCACCTCCCTCCACATGACACCGTGACCCATGAGCGCGGGACGTGTCCTGGTTTCACCCGGTGCTGTGAACACTTGTGCAGGAAGCTACAGACACTGACTGCTTCACTGCTGAACACAACTATGTCCCCATGCACTTCCTTGTTTTGTCTTAACTTTAGACCAGTCATACACTCATAAGCAGAGGTGGGAAGTAACGAAGTATTTGTACTTAAGTAGATTTTTCAGGTATCTGTACATTACTTGAGTATTTATTTTCCTGAAGACTTTTTACTTTTCACTACATTTGAACGCAAATATCTTTCTACTTACATTCTCAAAGCTGGATCTTAACTTGTTTTTACACTTTTACGCATGGAGCACCTCTCGCTCACTCTCTTGCCCCCTGCCTCGGCGGTGTGTGTGCCGTCGGGGGGGGGGGCAGCGCGAGACCATAATCGTCCGGAGGTTGGTCGGGCTGCTGTACCGGTAATTATCCTTCCGCATGTTCACCTACGGAAAACTTGTAATTGTGTCGCCCCGACAGGGCCGTGACCGACTCCGGTGGGTCCGATCCGAGGAGCTCACTAAACTGTTCAATGGGTAGTAGCGACGGGCGGTATGTACAAAGGGCAGGGA